CTCCTGGGAACCTGAACTTTGACCTCTTCACAGACTCTGACCAATCATCTGAGTTGCTGTGTTGTGTAAAAGTTCTCCTTGGACGGCAGATGAAGACAACGTCCCAGTGTCTTCCTCACGGCTGCCGACTTCCAGGTCTCCTCCTCCTCCTCCTCCACGGCCAGCCTTTAAATGCCACGGGGGAAGCTTGGCTCCTGATGACAAGCCATAAAAGAGAATGATATCATATTTGACGCCCGCTATAAAGAGCTGGAACTTCAACCTTGAGAGCCAACTCCCTGGGAGCGTCGTAAAGATGAAAAAACGCCCGGGAGACGGCGTGGAGTCGCAGCGCCGTCATTACTCCTCTTTAACGCCACTCCTGCATAATTTCTTCGGCCGCTGTAAAAAAAAGCTGAGCTGCAGCTGAACTTTTGTCCTGACGTTCCGTCGAGGAGCTGCTGCTGTCGTTAACGGACGAACATCGCCGTCGGCCGAGGCGTCCTGACGTGGGAGGAGTTTGATTGGTGAGTTTATCGACCTCCTTCATTCACAGTCTTCATCAGATCAGACATTTGAAAGAACAACAACAAACTGAACACTTGGTTGATTTTTTTTATTTTTATTTTTCATTCATCCACCCAGAGACCACCACCCAGAGGAGGCGGAGCCACCACCCAGAGGAGGCGGAGCCACCACCCAGAGGAGGCGGAGCCACCACCCAGAGGAGGCGGAGCCACCACCCAGAGGAGGCGGAGCCACCACCCAGAGGAGGCGGAGCCACCACCCAGAGGAGGCGGAGCCACCACCCAGAGGAGGCGGAGCCACCACCCAGAGGAGGCGGAGCCACCACCCAGAGGAGGCGGAGCCACCACCCAGAGGAGGCGGAGCCACCACCCAGAGGAGGCGGAGCCACCACCCAGAGGAGGCGGAGCCACCACCCAGAGGAGGCGGAGCCACCACCCAGAGGAGGCGGAGCCACCACCCAGAGGAGGCGGAGCCACCACCCAGAGGAGGCGGAGCCACCACCCAGAGGAGGCGGAGCCACCACCCAGAGGAGGCGGAGCCACCACCCAGAGGAGGCGGAGCCACCACCCAGAGGAGGCGGAGCCACCACCCAGAGGAGGCGGAGCCACCACCCAGAGGAGGCGGAGCCACCACCCAGAGGAGGCGGAGCCACCACCCAGAGGAGGCGGAGCCACCACCCAGAGGAGGCGGAGCCACCACCCAGAGGAGGCGGAGCCACCACCCAGGAGCAGAAGAGGGCGTGTCCAGATGGAGGTGAAGGTTCTTCTTCAGACGGGTGAGTCCCAGTTTCCTTCAGAGCTCGGTACCAGAGGCTTGTTGGTTACCGAGTCTCGTCACTTTTACTACAAGAAAGTGTTCCACTAAGGGGCGCTGTAGCTGCAGGTTTTTGTTCCAGCGCAGCAACACATGTGACCTGGTTGATCAGCTGATCTGAGTCTTCAGATCAGCTGATTGGTCAGTCACTGTGTTCTGTACGGGTTGGAACAAAAACCTGCAGCCACAGCGCCCCTTAGTGGACCACTCCCCCTGCCCCCCTGTGCCCCCCCCAGGTAGAGTGTAGTTTTGTTTGTACTTTAGCACTTGCTGTTGTTTGTTAAAAAACAAAATTTTTTTCCAGGGTGGATTCGAACCGTCAACCTCAGGGTGACAGACTGACGTTCTACCGCTGCGCCAAAAAGGGGGAATGCACCACTCGTCGTCACAACACGTATTTGACATGTGCCGACTCCACTTCCTGTTTTTAAAAAAAGTTCAAGTCCTACAGTACTAGGCTACTTAGGGGGGCAGAAGACCCCCCCCCCCCAAGAGTCTGGACTAGTCCTGGACCTGGACAAGTCTTGGACTAGATAAAGTCTGGACTAGTCCAGACTTTATCTAGTCCAAGACTTGTCCAGGTCCAGGACTAGTCCAGGACTTGTCCAGGTCCTGGACTAGATAAAGTCTGGACTAGTCCAGACTTTATCTAGTTCAAGACTTGTCCAGGTCCTGGACTAGATAAAGTCTGGACTAGTCCAGACTTTATCTAGTCCAGGACCTGGACAAGTCCTGGACTAGTCCTGGACCTGGACAAGTCTTGGACTAGATAAAGTCTGGACTGGTCCAGACTCTATCAGGACTAGTCCAGGACTAGACAGACTCTGGACTAGTCCAGAGTCTGTCTAGTCCTGGACTAGTCCTGATAGAGTCTGGACTAGTCCAGACTTTATCTAGTCCAGGACCTGGACAAGTCTTGAACTAGATAAAGTCTGGACTAGTCCAGACTTTATCTAGTCCAGGACCTGGACAAGTCTTGAACTAGATAAAGTCTGGACTAGTCCAGACTTTATCTAGTTCAAGACTTGTCCAGGTCCTGGACTAGATAAAGTCTGGACTAGTCCAGACTTTATCTAGTCCAGGACCTGGACAAGTCCTGGACTAGACAGAGTCCATCTAGTCCTGGCCCTGGACAAGTCCTGGACTAGTCCTGGACCTGGACAAGTCCTGGACTAGACAGAGTCCATCTAGTCCTGGACCTGGACAAGTCTTGGACTAGATAAAGTCTGGACTAGTCCAGACTCTATCAGGACTAGTCCAAGACTAGACAGACTCTGGACTAGTCCAGAGTCTGTCTAGTCCTGTTCTGGTCCAGGATTCAAGGCCTTAACATCAAAGTTCCCAACAACTCTTTGGTACCGAGTTCTCTTGTCTAACTGGTCAGAACTGGTCTAAGTTCTGACCCAGTTTGTACTACTGTACTGTGTACTGAGTAGTTGTGTCTGAGTACTGACACACAGTACCTTGGACTAAAGTACTTCAACCATAAAGACATCAATGAACCCTTAAACAGGTTGTTGGTCAAAAACCCACTGACTTTTAAATCCTCTCAACTTCAGAACTCGGTACCAAGGAGCAGAGAGAGCAGGTCCATTACCTGACGAGGCTGTTCTTGTCGTCGGGGTCGTTGGCGCTGACCGATCCGATGATGGTGTTCCTGGCCGCGTCCTCCTTCACCTCCATCACGTAGTTGGGTCGGAGGAACTCCGGCGGCTCGTCCACGTCCTCCACCGTGACCTTCACCACGGCCTCGTCCCTGAACGGTCCCTGGGCGAAGAACCGCGGGTTGATGTGGACGTTCTCCACCTGGACCCTCAGGTTGTACAAACGCTTCTTCTCAAAGTCCAGAGGCTGTGGAGACAAGAGTCACATGACCTTCAGTCTGGAGCAGAACTTTTCTCCAGACCTTCACTGACAGTTGGACGTTCTGACTGAGAACCTTCAAAACTTTTGCTCCAAGTTTTCTTTGCCTCAAGTTTTTTACACTGACGAAACCACGGCTGTTTTGGAGTTAATTCTGTTTTAATATTATTATTTGGAAGATTTGACTTCTAATAATCTTGAGTTTTTTTTTACCTTTTTTTTAATCATTAAAAGCTGCAACGTTTGTTTGTTTGTTTTAGCTGTGTTCAACATTAACCATTGGTTTTCTCATCCTGCAGCTAAGGTTAAATATTAGCTGCTAGCTAATATTTAGCTATTAGTTACTCAAACATTTAGCTTTGTTTTCAATTTGAATTTCAATCGTAGCTTTTTGCTAATGAATCAAATCTAAATCTAAATGCTACATTTCTGGCTAACCTTTAGCTACATTTTAAGTCTGATTATTGTTTTAACTTTATTTTATTTTTTTCCACATGTTAAAACTGAAACATTGTATTTAATGTGTTTAAAAGAAGAAAGAAAAATAAAGGAAATTATTCTTATTTTCTGATTATAATTGTCTGATTTGTTTGATTGAGAGTGAGAACCTGATAACATGCTGCTGCTGCTGCTGCTGCTGCTG